CATGCACTATTCGTAAATTATGTGGCTAAGCTGCAAACCTGCTTGGTGAGGAAAATATTAATTAGAGTAGCAGCTAGGATGTGACTTTGGAGGAGTAGGTATGATTTGAGTGGCCAAAAGGGGATAAATATTCGCCTTTGCAGTTTTCCAATAAGCAATGTAAACAAAAGAAAGGAAGTATTTTGAGATAAAACTAAACTTACCCTTAGTCCCAAAAAAATATTATCTCAAATGTCATTACCTTGAACTTGCCAACCCCATCATAAATAATATTGGTTGCAGCCTCATAATGTTTTTTTTTTTCATCTTTCAATCCTAGATAGTGATTTTCTTCTAACAGTTGCATCTTATTTTTTTTTCACATCTGCTATATCCCTTTAGAGGAGCAGAAAAAGCAGTTCTCATTTCAGAGTTTCTGGTAACCTAAAACTAAAATGGAAAATGGAAAAACTCTTCCAATATGTTTACTTTTCTACAAAAGATACAAAAAGAGATGAAATTGTCCAGTAACAGCATGTTTTATCAATCAACAAGCACTAGTGTTTATATGAAATACAATCTTATCTTCAAGGAGAAAAAGATCACTCTGTTGCATAAAGCACTACACATTGTCAATATTGTGGTCTCTTTTGACTGCAGGAAGCTATTTGGTTCAGTGATACATAAATATTTAGATCAAGACGTTTTGAAAAGGTCTCCTTGAAGAAGACATTCGATCTTGTTGCCCTGTAGAAGGACGTTCTTTTGAACACAAAATTGACTTTCCTTTGACTCTAGAGAGCAGCAATCATAGATACCAAGATCTCAAAAAGATAGCTCATCTTAAGAGCAGACAAGTGAACGCATAAAAGTGCCTTGTAAAAATGCAGAATAAAGCACATTATTTCGTGAAGCTCTCAACATTCCCAACATATCGCCATGACCCCTCTTGGTTCACACCCTTGGCCTTTAGGTCTGTATTAAGCCTGTAAGGCAGTTTCATTGCTGCTGCAAAGAAGTGCTCCCAGAAGAACCAGGGCAACAGCAGCATTGATACCTTGAATAGCTAGGTTTTATTCTGTCGTGACCCTTGTGTGCACTTATTGGCTTGCATGTGAATGGGATGCATGTATGGGGAGAGTTTGAGAAGGAACAACACAACTTAATTAAAGCCTTGAGATCATGACAATGGTTCAGAGGGTAAAGAAGTTCACATGTTCAGAGGTTTTGGAGGAGAGTTCAATTCTGAGATGGATTTCTCTTTCATCCCTTTTTTGTTCATGGACAACCCATGAATTTATGGGTATCTAGGGTCTTTATTTGCTAAGCTAGAGGGTACCACTTTCTTTCTTCATTGTTCACATGTATTCAAGCTATATTCTTTTCACATCACTCTAAATGACTTTGTCTGGGGGTTTTCTTCGCTCAGCTAAACCTATGGCATCAGTTGGGAACTGTGTTTAAAATTATGCCAAGAATCTCAACAACACAAATAACTTTATTTTCCATCTCTCTGTGAATAAGAAACTGTTGGATCTGTTTCACAGTGTTGTGTGTTTAATAGTGAACATAAACACAAACAAAGCTTAAACTACTGATTAAAAGGTATGATCTCATAACAATTGTTGTAAGCAATTATAAACCTCCCAGTTTTATAAATGTCATGCTGGGAAATGTCAGGAAAGCTGTACAAGACGAAATTTTGTTTTGTATACAGTCTGTGTATACAAAATGACAATAAAAGTTGTCTAAGTTATGGTGTAAGCAAGCACGTGGCCAGATGACTGCTAGTCCAGAAAGGGGGTGTTCTTTAAAGGTAATTCTAGGACACAAGGAGACAATGACGACCTTTCACTCCAAGAATTAAAAAAAGGTCTGGTTTTCTTTTATCCAAGATGGAAGTCTGGCACCAGAAGTTCTGTTTGTCTTCATGTACAAATAAGATTGGCAGAACACAAGAAGGGGGCTGCCACGATGCAGAAACTTTGCATCTAAAAACTGTTGAATAAGAATCTTATTAATTCACATGTAATTACAGCTTTTTTTGTGTTTTTTATGGTTGCGTTTTTGTACCATTTTTGCATGTGATAGGCTTCATGGGTGAATTAACTCCATTTTCCCTTGTCCCTGTGTTTTCCAGATGTTGTCATTTGGTTATTCAGTCATTTCTCATTAGTTCAGTTATCTTGCTGCTGCACGGTTGTATCAGAATTAGCAATTACACTCACTTGTTTCTTTTCCTTGTAATTACTTCTCTTTGACTATCTGCCTTTACCTCTATCACAATATACGGCATCTGTAGTTTTTAAAAGTATATAAATAGTTTAGAAGTGTTAATGGAAGTTTTAATGGATCCCAACTATGAACAAACATTAAACATACACATACTCATCCTGAGCTTATTCAGACCTGATATTTGGGTGCAGAAATCTCAGCAGAGATACCCAAAATTCCTTCTCCCATGGAGTTCCAGGATCAGCCAAGAGATATGGACTTATTCTGAATGTGAAAATGGTAAGGACACTCAAACCAAAGTGGAAGTATGTTAGAGGATGCCATGATAAGTCCCATCTGAATAGTGCTGGCAGTGAAGGAGACAGGAGGAAAAAGATAGATGGAGGTTTCCATCCATAGTTCATTTATCACAGGGATATTCTGAAGTTTCAACCGGCTGCATATGAAATATATGAATGCCCAAAATAATGTAAATGACAAGAAGTAAAACTCACCTTATAGAATTTAAATGTACAGTGTGTAATAATTACAGGCATTTTCTTACATAAATGTAATATATTATCTATAAGTATTTTATTTATTATCTCCTATGAACTGAAAGTCTCGATCTTTATATTTGCCTTGCCTTAGAAATTGCCATTTAGTGTATAATTACATAGGAGTGGGATTTGTGGAGGCAGATGTCTTTTGAGCCGTGCAAAGCTGATAAACTAGTAACTACAGAGATCACCACTACGCTTGAATGGGACTTCAACAGTTGAGCCTATATACAATTCTACACAGAGTAATAAAATGCTATTTATTAAATTATCTATGTAATACTAGACTTCTTGCCCTTGGTGTATGTTTGCTTTGGTCAGAGTGCCCAAAACAGGGGGATGAATCACTTGGACAACAGAGGTAAGAGGAGACAGCATTCCTGAGCTCAGGTAGAGGCAGCGGGGAATCAGTTTGAGAACACCGGGGAGAGAGAGATCCATAAGTGGGATTAGAAATGCTGCCCTCTGGAGAATGGCTGCGGCTAACCATGAGGAGGACGGCACGACATCAGACAAGCCCGCCAGGGAGACAGCGCAGAGAAGAGGCCATGGCAGGCCAAGGCTACTGTAGGCTCTATGTGCTGGAGATGGACAAAAGACCATTGAGCATCAGAGGAGTGTGTGGCTGGAGTGAGCAGCTGAGTCGGACCATCTAGGGCTAAATTAAAATGCCTTTTATAAAAGTCACTCACAAACAATGTCCTAATCACTAGGCCACACTCCACCTAAATTTATGGAATTGATGCTGCGATCTAATGTGAACAAACCTTGTCATCACTGAAGATAGGTTAAGTGGAAGTTGTGGAAGCCATTTTTTACCATGAAGGCCTCCGTGTTGCTGGAGACTAGAGGCAGTGTGGGGGGAGAGTTCATGTTGCTGAAGTCTGCAGTCTGAGCATTAGATGTTGCTGACATTAAATTACGCATTGTAGCTTTAATATCAAAATATAATTTCTTCATGTGTACTTTATGTGATGTATGCAAATTTATATAACTTCATATTGTCGGGGTGTTTTAATAGAGACCTTCAGCAGTTTGCTACATTTCTGTAACTTTTGTTATTTGTAGTTATTATCTGGAAGGTTGTAGTCCCATTTTCACACATTATCAATGTGTGTTTTCATTACATAACGACATCTGTAAAGCTGTCTAGATTGAGCACAGCACACTGGAGTTATTTTCCTACCCACAATAGTGTCATAGCTAAATAATAAACTATATATATATTAAACATCTAGAAGGGAGAAAAACAAGGGTAGAGAAAAATTGAAGTATAAGGGGTCAGTAACAAGGTAATGGGAGAACATTTTACAGTAGTGATACTCAATGGCGTAACGACCCAACAATAGGCTCGTACGCAACATTATCTGGGCCCCATATGAAGTACAACACCCCCATCCTCTACCCGCCACCTTGTACGTAACAGTTATGGTTTTAATCTACCCTCTGGATTACCCATAATTCCAAGTCGTATTGTAAAAAATAAAATACTCAAATACATCGTTCTTTTAAGATCTTTATTGCAGTATGAAACATATTATATGAGGTGTTTTTTTTACCAACCGTCTAATGAACTATACACAGTTATTAACATAGTAATTAAAAGTACCACTATCTGTTTTGCTATTGGTGTCGTGTTTAAACGGCTCACCATCATGTGGAAATCTGCTATGTGTTGGGGTATAAATACGGACCAGTCAGTCATCCTAGAATCAGGTGGGTTTAAGAGGAAATTTTCACACCATTACATCTGCAAAGGGACGTCCTAATCCACAATTGCGTATAGGGGGCCAACCAGGTGTCAGTGATGGGGCCCCTGAGAGGACTAGGGCCCCTAAGCAACTGCAGTCTCTGCTTACCAATAGCTACGCCATTGGTGATACTCTGCAGTAAACGATCTACTGTCATTTATTCTTATACACTTTTATCAGAGGATAAAGTCGATTAGGGCACTTTAAATACTTATGTTATAACTGGTAAAGGTGGTGTTATGTGGTCATGTATTATAATGTCGAAATAAAGCTGAAAAAACAACCTGTTGTGAGGAAAATAACTGCATTACTTAATTGAGTGATTTTTTAAAATTAAGCCAAAGTTTTCTTTTAGAACCTATAAACTGATAAACTGCAAACACTTATTTTTCTTTAGTTTCTGTAGTAGAGCTGCGCGTAAAGTCGGAGTGAGCAATGAACTCTCTCTCTCTCTCTCTCTGCTGAGGCGTGGTGTATATCTCTCCCAGACTGGAAGAGGCATTCTGATGGGCTGCTGTGGGAACTCAGCTACGAAGGCACTCAGAGCAGAGGCAGTGAATTTGCTCAGCAGTATCCCTGCCAGAGCGGCAGTCCTTTCCCAAACAAGGCAGAGCGCGTCTTTAGGCGCTCTGGGAATTAACACCCGCAAGATCCCCTTGATTAGAATAATCAAGATAAACTCCCCCTGGACTTTTAACTTTTAGAGCAAAAACAATCCTAGTTAGTAGAGGTGGGACATCTGTTAAGAATGATGGGATTTAAACCTTTCTTCTTCAGCAAAATTGTGGTTACTCTCCTTGTAAGCAGCATCTGCGCGACCAAAATAAATGTCCCACGGCTGAGACTCTCCTACAAAGGTAACGCATTTTATTCATCCACCCTAAAGAGACGCTCTTTATCATTGCATTTGCGCGCGTTTCTGCAGGTGGCATAAACTTGTGGAACGGCCCATCAGATGATATGCATTTCTTTTTTCAGTAGTTTATACTTTTCACAGATATTTTTGCTCCTGTTTTTTTTTTTTATTGTCCTCCATGCGGTTGTCCAAGCTGGAAGCGTTTAATTCGGGTCGCTCATCTGGCTACTGTTTCACAGGTTTACGTGCTTCAGGAGGCGCACATGCTTTGCTGCGCTGGTAGGGCGCGCAGTTACAGGAGGTTTTAGGCGCAGCTTCACTTCTCTGCGGTCAGATCCACCACGGTGCGACCATCTCATTAAAAGAGTTTATTAGGAACGGCAACCACGTCGGAATTCAGAGGCATGTAACTCGGCCGACATTTAAACTGCTTCAAGCACTGAGGGCATGGAAATAAGCACCGACCTCGATGGTTAATTAATACTGTTCACACAGATTTGGACTCAAGCAGTAATGATGTTACACTGGAAAAAACATCTAGAAAAAAGTAATAATTTCTCAAATTAAGGGTATTTACCGTTAATTTGAATAGGAACATGAGGTAGTTTAACACTGGAATGAGTATTTTTACTTTTAAAATCAGATAATTAGATAACATGCACTTAAATTGAGACAATGTAATTGTGTTTTCTTATTTAAGATGTAAATTGTCTTGTTCCATTGGCAAAATGTCTCTTTTACCTCCTCAATCCAAGAACAAATGCATATATATTTTTTTAACAGTAAGGCTAATATACACTTAAAGTAGTGAAATTTTAATCTATCTTTACAATACCTACTTTCTCAACTAAATAAGATAAAGTCTGAAATATTTGAAGTAATATGAAGGGTAGCATAATATGGGTGAAATGATAGGGTGGCATTCCAGGGCCACATTTATATGAGGATGGGGGCCCCGTGGCTAGATCTAATTATACACATTCAAACTGTAATAGACTGATAGAAGGACATGAAGGGTTTAAGACTTTATTAACTTAAAGATGTATCTAAACATGTTTTTTCATAAAAGTTACTTAGAAAGAAGGCATCTTTAGATAAAGTTTTTCTTGTACACTGAAAAAAATAATGCATCCGCTGTTGGCATTTAGTAACGTTAACACAATTGCTTTATGTTCTACCCTGCTAACATAAAACAATTGTGTTAAAGTTACTAGATATTATTAAATAAATGTCAAAAACAGTTACATTACTTAGCTCTATTAGGAAAAAATGTATGCCCCTCCTTTAAATGGTGATTCCACACGTTCACCAACATGATACACTAAACTCATAGCAGCACAGGTGGAGTTTCCACTTAAAGCTTCTTGTTAAGTCTGATTTTCTGAGGATGGACTACAATGGGATCTCTGAGACTGTTATCTGGAAACGCATTCATTTTAACTGCTCCAATATAATAGTTCTTAACACTTATGAAGATAATATATTACTTTATAGCGTAAGCCATAAAATCATGTCAGGATTGTAGTTTTCTGCAGAACAGCATGAGTGTAAATACTGAGTAAAATTAATCAGACTTTTTTATTGAACATTTTATTAGCATATTAGCTAACATTCAAAACTCATTTTTATAGTACAGGATTTAATACTAAAATGTAAATTCATGTGATTAGTTAAGGTAATAATATCTATACAGTCTGTTTTTGTTCATTTTGCATTGTTACTTTTTTTCTCTAATCTGAGTGGTTGTCCATGACTCATTCATGCCTAAAGATAATAGGCCTGTTAAACAGTGTGTGTAAGTACTGTTGTCTGCTGCTGCCAAGCCCGGCTCATTGTTTCATTCAGTGTAACCTGGAGCTGTTCTGCAATCATCACTGGCCCGATATATCTCACAGGATTTCCTCCTGTTCAGTTTTCAGGAGAAAAGTCACCATCTGAGCTTATTGGTCTTCCTGGCAGAAATGAAAGTAAGCAGAGGTCAGTTTGTTGGTGAGGGATGAATTAACGACGTAGAAACGTAGAAAGGTCTGTCCGATATGAACTGTAAATTAAAGACAACTTCTCCTTCAAAAAGGGTAATAAATATCATACTTTTTTGCATAAGTGCCTTTGTCTCTATTCTTCACCCTTGCGAATCCCTGAGGTCAGTGTTTGAATTCACAAAAAGTAGAACCTTGATAGGAAATACTATTTGTTTTGAAAGTACTATGTTGATATAATAAAAGAAAATAAATAGAGGAAATGTTAAAGTGAGTTTTTGTTAGAGGTTTTGACTTTAATATTTAAAAGTTATTATGTAGGAAATCCATTAGGCTTTGAAACTGTTGCATTTCCAGACCACAACACTCATTACAAATAGATACAAATCACCTCCCTCCTTTATCACCAGATTGGAGTAATTTCCAAAGTGTGAGCTCTCACTGCTGGTTGTTAGTTAAATGATGTAATCTCATCCTACCTTCAGTGCTTTTTGTGCTGTGGTTACTGACTGGCGCCACCAGCTGTTTATCTTGGGGCCTTCAACATCCAGCGCTCTGTGTTGACCTCAGCAGGGCAAGCTAAGACCAAACAAGTCAGCAGTATAAAAGGTAAACATGTTCCTGTTTAGATCTACCTTTTTTTTACGATATTGAGTAAAAGCTATCTTAGTGTTATAACATATAAAGGTGATCCTTTCAGACCCACAGTTATTGGTCATATGAGAGTAAAATGCACACACAATATCAATTAATGGATACTTATTTGTTAAAAAACAAAAGTCAGACCTCATTTAGCTGAAATAAGACCAAATCATTGTATTATTAGTTAGAAACACTGCAATTGATACACAAATTCTGTTAGCAATAAAAAATACTTCATGATAAATTCAGCATTTCTAGCCGCCGACTATTACCTAGCCCTCTTATATGTGAACGGAAGACGCCTCTTGTGCCTCATGAAGAGTGTGGGAAGAGCTTTGCCATTGAAGATTCTCATTAGTGACCACACAGCTCTTTGCTTCCTGTCTCTTTGACCTTTAATGTGACCTCTCAGTTTGCCCTTCCATACATAAGTCCCCCCAGCGTTGCATTAGCCCTCCTCTCTTGTTTCTCTTACTAAATCTCTTACCCTCCTTTAATGTTCCTTATTGGTTTTCTAATATATTTTTTTTTTTTTTCTAAACCTTCTGTTTGCACATGTTTGGCTGTGTTCTCAGCTATTAGCCTCACCTTCTGTTTTAATGGCCAGAAACACCCATAGGCTGTTGGCATTGCCAAGAGGATGTGGAGGTAATTTAGTGGAAGGAAAAGCCATCATTATCTCATTTCAATCAATTAGCGGGTAGAAGTTCATGCAGGAAGTCGAGCGTTTTTAACACAGGGCCATATGGGTGCATGTGCTCTGTGTCTGCTCTCTGTTTTGATTAATCTCAATAACTTTTTGATACCTTTACTTTTTGGCTGGAAATAAATGTATAAAGTTTGTTTGAAGGTCTTTATTTCTTATTTTTATTTTGTTCAAACAAAATTTAATGCTTATTAGAATCAATCTGTCTGGCCGTCCGTCTATCTGTGCATCCTTCCATCCATCTAGCTATCTGCATAATTAATTCCACCTTTATTACTCTTTGTAATAAATATGTTAACTGTTTTCTGTTTTTTTTTTTTTTGTCTAATAAGACAATATACAATTTATTTTTGGTCCTTATGTACGACCTGAAACAGACATTTTCTCTCAAATACAATATTCACCTTGTCTCACTGAGGATGGGGGTGGTGGTTTAAAACTCAGACACTTAGATCACTGTCCTGTTTTAATCCCACTGTGCTGGTTTTCAGAAGGAAAAGGGTCTGTTTGGCTTTTGCACCCTTTTGAATTAATGAGTTTGCCTTCTCAGTTAGCCTTACTTGAATGCTGTTACTGCTGAGTCTGAGTTGTTCTGCTGCAGGGCTGGGAAAAAGAATCAGACTGCAGACCTGCTGGAATGTAGGGCGTCTCTCATTCTGTCATCTTTTAGAGCTTTTCTTTGTCCATTCTCCATCCATCTTCATCCATCTTTTATGCATTATAACTAATTCTCTGCAATCATTCATTGCCGTCTGTATTTCTCAAGTTCAGCTGAAGAGCTCCCAAATCCTTCATATGATTTCAGACTTAAATCAGAAAGTAATAAAAAAATAACAAAGATGAAGAGCTGGACGATCAACAACTTTTTCTTTTTGGAGCCTTAACTTTAGGAAGCATTTGGAAGAAAACTTTTTATGTCTTTTTTTTAAATAAAAGAAATACTTGGTGTGGGATTTTATAGCATGATGGGGCAAATGTTTAACTTTAAACTATAAAATGCATGGGTAAAATCTTGAATTGATAAAAAAAAAAGCAAATATGAGCAAGTGACTAATTTAGTTACCTGTTTCTAGCCCCATAATTTGGAATCATACATAAATCTAAAGTCGTTTATCTTTTTCAAAGACATGGTGAAAGGGAGGCTTGGCCTATGCATGATTTAAAAATTGCAGACAGTTCTGTTCTCGAAGCATACAGGAATAACTTTCATTTATGCACTTCCTGTTCTCTACACCAGAGGGCAAACCAACAAGCAAGCGAAAACTTCGTTCAAATAGTTTGGCCAATTAAAAATGATGAGGAAAAGCATCACAGAGGTATGCATTTTTGGCCAGAAGTAATTGGCTATTTTATGAATGCACCGCTAATTGAAGCACCCTACAGGCTTATTTGCAGCCACGTAAAATATACCTAAAAATCTTTTTGTGCTTTTTAATATTCTGCATTTGCATTACCTCCAGCTAAGAAATGTAAACATAACTAATCTTTCATTTAATTCTATGTTTTATTTGAATTTATATTTAGTTTTATCCATTTCTATGTATTTTTGTATTGGACGTAAAAATGTCAATATTAAGAAAATAGCTATGCTTTACAAAATCCCGAGTCTGATTAACCACACAAGTACTTTTCGCAAAGAGAAATGTAACTGGAACATTGTACTATATCCTTTAA